CCATATAGGTATATGAATATGATTATATACTATTCAATACTGACCCATGTCAATCCGTAAGCCAGAGAAGACGAGACATCAATCCACTTGAAGTCTATTACTTTAGTTGATGAAAAAAAAACAGTATTATTCGACGTTAAAAGAAAAACATTCCAATGTAAAATTTAATAAAAAACTCATAATTTATGAATCGATGCTATAGGCTGAAGCGAACAGACTGAATCTATTCTCTTAGATCACAAAAACATTCCAAAGACAATATCGACAAAGATATTAATTATATTAAAGCAGGCAATTCAAGTAGTCATTGAGGTCTTTGAATACAATTATGTCAAAGGATCACGTACGCTTCGTGTAGGTCAAGTCAAACAAAACGACAAAAACTTATCGCCTCTACTTCCGGTTTGAATCAGAGCTGTGTTAAGGTAGAACATTATTGTAATACCAACTGCTACTGATTCGATTCATTTAAAACAGAATCGCTTATACACAAAACAGTGTTAGAACAGAAAGGATATATTAAATAAGACATTTGTTTTCTAACATTCAACACATGGTAGACGAATAACAAATTGCCAAGAGCTGTTGGGCGTTAAAGATTTGGACGGTAAAATAATTTACATATACAAGTGTTTGTTTGTCATTCTTTACGCCCTAATTGCGTTTACATTCATTTTGGTGTAATTCCGTATGTTTCTACACGAAGACACCGCTCATTTTAAACTGATGTCAAGGTAATCATTAATGAGATTTTAAATGAAATTATATATGCATATAGCATAAAACATTCCAATGTTGAAATAAAGTTGTTATCACTACATAGTATAAAAACAAAGTCACCTTTTCTGTCCCTATATCGATATGTGCGCTTAAATCTTTCAAACTACGTTACAGATTTTGATGATGTTTTTTTAATAGATAGAGTGATTCAAGAGGAACGTTTATATGTATAAGGACATCCATTAAATATTGGAGAAATACTGTTATTTTTGAGGTTTTTAATGTGTAAATAATTTCATTCTTTCCGCGTATACATTGCAAACGCAGGCAACCCTGCAAGATTGTCCTAAGTATGTAATAAGTTGTACTAAGTAGTATTGTCACTAATTCTATTATATACTTACGTTTTTTTATGAAATTCATTTGCTGTAGCTTTTAATACGTAGATTATAAAAACAAAGACGTATATTAATTAATCACTTGTGACTTAATGTGGTGAAGAAAATAATGAATTAAGGACTCATAACTGACGTCATTGCATTGGCAAGTAAGTTTCCTTATAATAATCCATATACAATGAAAATAGAAAATCACAAAGGGTTCTTTTACGATTGTTTATGAAAATTTTTTAACCAGTTAATCGACTGTTGGAAAACATTAAGAACAGACGTTTACGCAAACTGTAACCTTGGGAGATGCGTAATAAATATTTACATAGCAGCGTTTGAGATAATGTATAGGGTATTTAGCTAAACACAAACATTTTCAATGTAGAAAAATCTGAGGTTAGCAAATTTCTGGCTAGCGGCATCATCGACATCTAGACCAGGGATGCATGGACTTATTAAGACTCTACAGCAGCTCTTCGTAATGATGTTGAGATCTTAGAAATTAAAGAGTTTATTACAATTTTTTAAGTATCAGTGTAATTTCTTAAAGTGTTTGTGTGTATAATAGAAAAAAATGTCGACCAACCTCGCTTGCGTTAGCTCGACCTCTGAAGGGGTCACAGAAAATCAGTGTTGGGACATTAGTCCCAACGTAGCTGATTGGCTTCTTTTGCAAACTATATTGGTGTATTTATTTATTATTTAGTTAAATTTGTATGTTTGTAAAATAAGTTTTAACTGTACATGTTTTGTTGTCGTTTGTGTGTTCTTTCTGAATAAACGTAATTCTATTCTATTCTATATTTGGAGCCACTCGGGCAAATCATAACTGCTAGCGGGCCTCCAGAAGTATAGGTAATTTAAGACAATAAAGAATTGATAATAATATATCAAAATTGAAATAGAATTTATTAATTTGAGTATTATTTTTGCTGACGGCGGGCCACCCCCGCATTCGATAGGCCGCAATCTGTGCATCTCTGATCTAGACGAAAATATATTAATATTTTGAGTGGTAAAATCCAATATTATGTTTGGTAATAAATTTATTATAATTTTACGCTTCTATTTTTGTTTATATCAGAGGATGCATTGCAACCAATCACAAGGTATTAAAGAGTAGACAGATTTATATTCTAAAAACTGATGAGTTAGGATTGAAATTACATTGCGCAAGAGATGCTTAAACCTTATCGATTCAAACAAAATCGATAAGGTTGGGCCAGAGACGGTAACTCAATCGGTTAGAGGAGCAGCACAGATAGCTGTGGATGCCGCTTCAAATTTCACCCATGTCATTAATAAAATGCGCGTGTAAATTAAAATAACCCTCCTTCAAATGCAGGCAACAGAAACGTGAAAAAAGAAAAGATTGAAACAATTGATAGCAATGACATTGACATCAAGGTAATTATATTCTCAAAGGTGGTTGAACCGAACATTCGTAATGGATTTTTATTGAACAAGGAAAAAAATATTTAAACAACCAAACAGGTAACTTTACCCGTAAAAATAACAAGGCAATGTAACAAATGCAAAAAAATATATTGAATCGTTGTTATTTCTCTTTATGCATGAGGAGTGCGTGAAAAAAATAAATGAAATGAGAAAATCCGATGATGACATGCTGTAGCCTTTTTTGTAGAGCGACAGCCAGAATCGCTGTGATCTTGAGTTTGTGTCTTGTGTCATATTTTTGGGGTCGAAATGAACTTTAAACACAATAAAATGTAGGTTCATAAAAATAGCAATGTTGTTGAAAAACAAGTGAAGACGCATAATTTCTCGGTCATTGTCGCAACGTGTTGATAATAAATTTTATCAAAGAGTTTTCATGTAACATTTAGGTATGTTTGGCTACGTTTTAGCTCCGCGATAAGGATTTTATGTACAGCCATGAGTCAAAACTCGCCTGATATAACGTGGAACGGCCGTGAACGTAGCGAACATTCGGCGGACGAAACACGTTACGAGCAAACGTGAATTTATAAAATCGAATACAAAAACAAGATTTACATAAGAATTACAATATTTACTCGGCGAGTTGTGAAAGGCGATAGCGATGAACGAAACTAAAAACATACTTGACAATACACTTCCTTGAGCCCGCTCGTGGTGAAATCCCAAATTGGCACAGTTTAACGACGAAACAGTACGTCCGATCAAAATCACTGAACACTGCTGGTCGCTACTGACACAGAATTACCCAACACCAGAACCGAACTAGGTAGAGCGACGTTTTGACACACTTAGATTGAATACAGCACTCTGTAGCGCTCACAAATGAATACATAAGCGATCCGAAACAGGTTTTCACTTGCGAAGCTTGGGGGTTTGCATAAAATGAATTTTAATACAAAAATTGAGGATCACGCGAAAACACTAGCACCAGTTGGCGTTGCGCACTACTGACTGAGACTCGCGAACGGCGAACCACGAATCAATGTTGGGCTTTGTGGCGTCGATGTGTGCGCGCTATCTGTACACGGACGCACACAACCAACACTACCCCGTATACAGACAGCTTTGTCTGTCCTGGGAAGGCACTAGATATACCTGTTCAACCGCTAACACAGTTTCAACCTTCCCTAACACCGTCGTGCTTAATCAGTCAGTTGCAAAATGTTACAATTATCGGTGATATTACAAAATAACTGATGATAGCGGCCGTCGCGATGAGGAAACTAAAATCGCGTCGTTGTTACTTCTATAGGCATGCAGTTAATATACAAATGAATAATTAATAAATAATTCATCGTGTTCTATGTCGCTATTTACCTATCCATAGAAGTAATTTAATTGTTCAAAATAGCGAAATCCCGTTGTCCCCTATGGGGTAACACGTTTCCGTATTAAATAGGTACTGTCTATAGTTTACGCGAGTAGTACACATTTAAACAAAACACTTTAACGGTTTAAAACGCGATATATTCGTTAAACTTATTTGAAAATGATTTTTAACTTCGGCTCGACGTTTCGGATGCTTTGCAGCAGCCGTGGCCACGGGGTGACTACCCGCGTCTTAGACCCTTAAAGTGTTTTATTTAAACGTTTCCGTATTTTTTACATCTTCAACCAATGAGCTAGCGAGGCTACTCATTGGTTGAAGACACCATGTCTAAGACATCATATTATATTAAATTCCTATTAACCATTTAAAAATGCATGACAATTTTCTCGGAAAGCAATTTGCTTGTAGTAATTTTGTATAGTTGTGCTCTTAATTAATTAGATTCGCATTCAATGAGAAATAAACAATTTGAAACAAATTCCAAATAAAAGGCTTTGAGCCGGCTAACAATATTAATAAGTCTACAGTATTATCATTATATCGAAGTATCGTTTATTTGCACGGCCAGTGTGGGATAAATAATGTGAGTAGAAAAATACAAGAAAAAAAATCTTTGCACAATATCTGAGGCTGCTAAGGATTAGAGGCCTGATAGCAAAAAACATGATTTTCAATAAGGAGGAAAATAAAAATACACAAATTACTTAGGCGACAGTGAATTTGTACTATTATTTGTGTAACAAATATGTTAAAACTTCTCGGTGGTCTTGTAGATTACCATTTTTACACCATGAAAATATAAATAAAAAGTCATAAAATTGCAGTTAGGCCACTCTGCCTCTAGCGGTCTCATATTATGTGTAGATCATTGCAGTCGAATTTTAGAAAAGAAAATGTGTTATTTTTGTTAAACGCTGCGTAACGTAACGTTCATTAAAAAAACAACCTTACAACCGAATCAAATCTATTTGTAAAAATCCTTAAGCTACACAGAAGCCACGGACACAGCTAACAAGGACAAACTTAAAGCGAAAACCCGTTACCTCCTTACGAACACATTTCTATGTCCGTCTGGCTGTGATAACAAAGGGGAGGGTTACCTCGAATTGTCTAACGAGGTCGGTCGCCGCCGTCTCCGAGACCCGCAGCTCACACAGAGACGTCCGTCGCGCACCTGACACCAACATGGTTTAAATCACTACTAGCGACGGACCGTCTCAGCCCACAACATTGATAAAACATTGCTATCGTTCAAGATAACTTCTCTTATCTAGTACTACCTAGCTCTATACGTCATAGAGCCACAATAACAATCAATTTGTCATTATTCGTTGCGTGATGTAATCTCATATGAACTATTATGTAGTCTGTAGTCTGTAATGAATAGCCACGGGCCGATGTGATGTAAGCTAGATTTTCTTTCGTTGGAGGAAGGCGGACAAGTTTACGAACGAAGGTGAACGAAGGGGGTACCATTTGATGGAAGATGAAATATCATCCAGACGTATAACATCTTATCACGATGCGCTGTCTCTTGGTCGTCGTTTAGCTTTGAATATTAGAAAATCTACAGACTGAAATCAACATTGAAATCTATTGTACCTGGCAGGGACCAAACTCATGATCCGTTATTTACCGTACATGGTTTCCACAAATAATGGTGGAAATAAACTCCCTAGCCATATAACATCTTAACATGTGTAACCTATTTTGACTTTGGATATTCAAAAATCGAATAAAGGAGGATAGGTAAGCATGGGAATTCACTTCATGGTAGGTATACTCCAACCATATAACATATAAATGATGCGCTGCTCGTTGATGACCTTTGGCATTGGATATTTGGAAATCCACAGACTGAAACTGAAACGCGATGGAACTTCGCCGCTTTTTCATCTGTAGGTTCATACAGGTTTGCAGACAAAGTTAATACGTTTCAGAAAATTTTAAAAATATTAGTAACATATGGACTAGATGGAAATCCAAGTCGGTGATTAGTAGCCGTCGCTACCATTTGAATAATTTGCTACCTATAAGTGCAAATCAGGGTCGCACTTGACCTGTTTTTTTATATTACGGGTGCCTCTGCTGAGCTTGTTCTATTTCTTAACAATTACTCGGCGTTCTCTTAAAAATTTACCCAGATTTCGTCAGAAGTCAAATCGACGTTTACATAACGTTATCTCGTATACCACAATAAAGAATCGCAGATTACATTGTTTACAAAATTATTAGCACTTATAATCCGTCTTATCTCACGTTTGTATAGCTTACAGCATTACAGCAGCGTAAATAACAAAACAATAAAAGCCTCGACGAAAAATAGTATATTTACTAAGTTATTAACTAAATCCCTTGAGAGAAACAATTATGTATACTTGTACTATTGCTCACAATGGTATTATATAAATAAAAACCCTTATAGATAAAAAAAAATTAATACACTAGTATTAAGGTTAAAATTACATTGCGCAAGAGTTGCATATATCAATAGGCTGAAGAAATTCCACGATAACGTGTAGGACACGGTAACTCAATTGGTTAGAGCAACAGCTCGAAACGCTGTGGATGCCAGTTCGAATCATGCCCGTGTCGAAATTGTTTTCAATCTAAAATCGGTTTTTAATTTATATTTGTAAAAGTTAGACACATTCAATGCGGAGTCTCAAGATAATGTCGAGGTCAAATAATTTGGTAATTACATAAGAAGCACGATAGCAAACGTAAATATATTTCACCTTAAACTTATCGGTTAAATGATAAATAAATTAATTCGCGTGCCAGTGGAATATTATCTACGTAATCAAATTATAATTAATGCATCGAAAACAATGTTGCCATCCGTTTTATATTTATTCTCTGAATTACAGATAACATATAAAAAATAAACATAAAACTCGGTGATTCTTCAAAGTTACATAAAAAGGGTTTGTTTTTTTTTTTTTCAACCAATTCAATTATTGATTAGTTGAAGTATAGCTCTATGTTTCCAATTTAAAACAAAACAGGACAAAAAAATTAAATATGCCTCAATGTTGCACCTTCGTCTAATTAAGTAACGATTATCGATTTACTTATTTAAGTAAGGCAGTATTACAGATAATGTCGAAACCAGTGTCTTAACACACTATTGTATTATTTAATTTTTTTTTTGTAATTTGAATAGTAAGAGTATATGAATAGTTTAATATTAATAAGTTGGAAAAAATCCGAAAGAGCAACAGCACGGAACGCTGTGGATGCCGGTTCGAGTCCTGCCCGGGTCTCAATATTTGCAATTAATGATAATTATCAATTTGTACCTACTCGTATGTAATATATACTGTATGTATACTATTGTGTTTACGCTTGAGTAAAATTTATTACGTAAATACGTCTTAAAACTTTAACAAATTACCATATATAAACCATATACCATATATATGTAAATAAAACAGTTGTTACGCTTTAAATGCGATATATATATCACTTTTTAAACTACGACCCGACATTTAAATAAAAACAATCTCCATTATAATGTAATATAGGACAAGAAAAGTGAATATCTTAAATTTCCCTATTAGTACAGCCCTATCTAGTATTATCGTAGCAGTCATTAGTGTTTTAGGAACAAGTGTTTGCTTATTGATCAGTACATAAGTTCATAACGGCATTTCATTGTTTTTAAGCTATCTTAATTATCAATAAATATTTGAGTCAGCGGTGTACAATAAACAATTGTATCATTTAAAGATAACACTGTAAGGAGAGCGTTCGTTATGTTCTATCAAACTAAACTTAAATAGACTACAGTTTTATACTTTGTATACCATACAGTCATCTTATCTAATATATAAAATTTTCATGACACAGTGTTAGGTAAAGTACTCCAAATCGGCTCCATCGATTTTTTATGTAATTTTCTATGCATAGGTACTTAGTTGGTCTGTGAATCAGTTACTATCCAGTTTTCATACTCTAAGTGAAAAAGATTACAACACAACATGCCTAACATTTTTTTTAAATTATTTGACATATTTGATTTCTATCATCGACATCTATATTTATTTGAAAAAAGTGGACCAATTTTTTTTTCCAAAAAAAAATTTTTTAAAAAAAAAAAAAAAACAAAGTTCGCTGCAATATTTTCAAGCGCGCTATTAGAAGAGGTCTTACGGCTTGTTAGTTATTTCATCCCCTCCAAAAGGGGGTAGCAATGTATACTGGGGCGCCCCAGTCAGCCATTATCGTTCAGAAATCAGAGCACGTCGCATTCCCATTGAATTTCAATAAACAAACTTGACATATTTTCGGTCCGCACGCGCTCTCCAGCCAACACGAAATTCGGTAAATATTCGAGACAGAAATAGATAGGACTCGCGACGTGCTTTGCGTATATACGGATAAACGATTCGCACTGCACGGGGCTTTACAACTAAAATTAAAACTTCTAAGCGCAGGTCGGTTTCGACCGCGATGGGTTCCGTATCGAAGACTGGATAAATGACAGTATGTAATAAGAATTTAAACTTGTTAATATTATTAAAATGAAGCGTGTGAAATGTGTTATTGTTAATAACATTTTTTATGTAATAATAACATTTAGTATTTCTATCACATTGGGAGTATCCTGTAAAGGTATAGTAAGACGTTCAAGTAAGCAAAATGGATTCTGTCTCTATTTCAAGTACCTGCCTTTTGGCAACACTAATATCTAAATAAAACACTTTAACGGTTTTAAACGCGATGTATTTTAGTTAAACTTGTTTGAATTTATTTGTATTGATTTATTTCTGACTACGGCCCGACGTTTCTGATGCTTTGCAGCAGCCGTGGTCACGGGGAGACTAAGTTTCACTAAAATATATCGCGTCTTAAACTAGTTAGTGTTTTATTTAAATGTGTACTACTCGCGTAAACTACAGACAGTATTTATCACTAATATCGTGCTAAACACGGTTTCCCTTAAATTAAATATGGATCCAGACCCATTCAGTACCGCAAACGTAAAAATAAAAATAACAACTTAAAGAGCTGTACGGTTGTCCCGAGCAGAGTGACATTTTTTGGATTTTTTACAGCCATTACATGACAAATAAGTCCTATTCAATTAAAATTTACAAACACTTGCATGACTTTAGATTTTACAGTGGTTAAGTTAAGCAAACCTTGTTCTGAACCAAGTTTAAAAAAAAATGTGTATCACGTAATATGTGGACTTCCGAACATTTATATACAATTTAAATATTAGGCAAACAAAACTATTCTAAGCTTTAAACCGTTTTTTTTTATAGGAAGTCGTCCATTCCTATAAAAATAACGGCGCTTCAATATTATGACGCTTTAAATTATAGATAGCTTTATCAAAGTAAACAGAATTTATAAACAGACATGTCGAACTCATGGTGAAACCTAAATTTAGATGCGGAAGGCAAATTTATTGGCGGATTCGTCATCCTCATAAAATAATGATCGAATGAGTGCCTGCCGTATGTAAGTTTTGTTTCTTTTGATGAAGAAACTCGGGTTTTACCAAATATATTTTCCTTCAATTCCTCGTCGTACGTCGAGCTGGTCGAGTGTGGCATTTATGTAGGACTAAGGTTATAATAATCTCTGTAACTACCTGGCTATGGAACAATCTCCCAAGCGAAAGTTATGTAAACACGTCTAGCGACAAACCACGATCAGCGGCGACCGGTCGCGGCGAATCAAGGAAAATGTGAATATTATGTAGACGTATTGTAAATCTATCTACAAATACCCTGGTAGGTAGGGGGCTCAAATATGCGCAAACATTAATTTTCATATACAATACCGTGTCCTTTGAAAAGAGTACTGTAGATATTTTAGTACGAGACTGGAAAGCCTTTGAATAAATCAAAGCTGTGGGGAACTGGGGAATCGTCCAATGTTTCATATGCCTTTATGTTAACGAAAGCTTTTAGGCTTATTCGAGCTTTTTAATAATAGACCAAATACAAAGAGTTACTTCGATATTAATTATTCTAAATATTCAATTTATATTCTTAAGACTAACATTTTTATTTATCTACTTCAGATCATAGACTGATTTCTACCAATTATGGGACAAAGAAACAATCTTATGAGGAACAATATTAGCCTCTATAAATCCCAAATAATTTCCTAAGTGTGACTTGTAAGTTTAAGGTATAGAACCAGGGTCTGGAACTTATCGCGCTTACAA